GACTGGTGTGATGAAGCGGAGTAACTGTTACCACCCTGAGGTTGATTATTTTCCAGTAACAGCACACTGTAAAGTATTTTATTCTTCTTATCTTCATTATAATTAAAGAATGACGCACCATTCTTTTTTATCCATTTATAGTTATGTTTATTGTTGTTGGAAAACTACAATGCACTGACACTGGAGACTCCTTCCAAAACGAAACCTCATCTCTTCACAGAAAGCTTCACCATATCAACAGTGATACATCTTCCTTTGTAAAATAACAAAACATTTTTAACTCCTTTTATTATTAGTTTTAGATTGTATGCTGCAGCTGCCATACACATCCTATAACAACCGAAATGATAACATATTACAACCAGTGCCTAAATAAAAACCTGTGATTTGAAATGCAGTGTAAGTACTGTCAAAGCTGCTGTTATAGAAAATGAATCGACATGTTCTGGCCAATCGGATTCAAGAATTCAACAGTGCTTTGGTATAAAGAGATATTAAGTTCTTTAAGCCTGTCAGATTTTTTTGCATCTCGTCTAACATTGAGCCTTTAATGAACTTTTACTTACACTGGAAATTTAAAAATGTTGCCAGCTTTTCATAAAAGCTGTGTTGAAGTGTTCTGTGCTGGACTGAATTCTTTGTATTTTCCTTTTAGTTTTAGAATAAAATATTGTACACTTAGTTTGTTCCTACACTTATTGACTAGTTTATCATATCTGTGCACTTATTAGAACATTCAGTAAATATTGGTTGTAAATAATGTTCTCATAATTTTTTTTTTTTTTATTTCTTTAATAATGGTTTGCTTCACAATGTTATTATAACATTGCTAACAGAATGTTTCAAGGACGACAAAACCTTCACAGAAACCAAAAGTGTTAATATTCCTAGAACTAAAATGTTCACGCATATCAGCGCTATATGCACTATCATGTCAGTTTGACTACTGTATGGAGAATCATTCATTCATCTCCAGTAAGCACTTTATCCAGGTCAGAGTGGCAGTGGATCTGGGAACATTGGGGGAAAGCTGGTAATACACCCCGGGTGCAACGCTAGCCCAATGCCGGGCACCGTTCTGGGATTTAAAGACCTGTGGAGGTCCCTTTCTATTAATATATCATGTTAAGGGGGTTGGACACAATGTGCACAGATGGGCCGCTGTCAGTAAGTGTACATCTGTATGATAGGTGTTCCTGATAAAATAGCACCTTAGTGTACCCATCGCTCTAATGTGTAATCATCCTCCAGATTTATGTGTAGGTACGAGCTCAAAGGATTATCACTGAGTAGTGCGAGTCTCATTATTCACCAGTCACACAGAACACTGGATATAATAAAGCTCCACTGAGGGGACGGACGAAGAGAGATGAAGTGGAGATGGATGAGAGAGCGTGCCACCTGACTGAGACAGAGAGAGAGAGAGAGGGAGAGAGAGAGAGATTGATGATAAGGAGGAAGGCAAGATGTAGAGAAGAAAGGAAAACATATGAGGGGAGAGAAGCAGAAGCATAGAGCAATGAAATGAAAATTCAAGAGAGAGAAAGAAGCAGAGAGAAAGGACGACAGAAACAGTGAGATGTAGAAAAAGAGAAAGAAAGAAAGACAGTGACTAAGAATGAAAGGAAGATGAATGCGGAGAGAATGAAAGCAAGTAGCAAGTATGGCAGTAAAGAGAACCTGAGAAGTGTATGAAGAGAAATACAAGTAAAAAGATGGACAGAACGACAGAAAAAGAAGAGTACAGAGAAAGAAGGAATGGTAAGGAGACACATGCAGAGAGAAGACGGACAGAGAAGAATGTGAGTGGATAAAAGAAAGATAACGCTGAGAAAGAAAGAAAAAAGAACAGATAAAGGGACGAGTATGGAAGCAAGATAGATTGAATGGAAAATTAGAAAGTGAGGTAGAAAGGATAGTTGAAGAATAGACTTCTGGGAAAAGACTGAGACAAAGTGAAGACTGAGGAACAGAAAAAGATGGAGGAATAAATTTACAGTTACATAAAAAGCAGTTGAGAGTCATCTGGCATACAGCCAAGCATCATATTTGAGCAGTTTTAGACGCACCTTTGTTCAACTGCGTTTGATACAGCAGGCATTTCCTGTCGCCAGCTAGACAAACACAGAAGCACTAATATCATTAACTAGGGTTGCCAGGTTTCAGCAAAATTCCAGCCCAAATACATCTCAAAAAATTGAAACTAGGCTAAAAAGTCAGGCACTGGGAAAGAGAGACATATTTTTCTTATTTTTCTCAGCCTTTGCATGCGAAACAAGGTCCTTTTCCTCTCCCAATTTTTTTAGAAATAAATCTTACAATAGAAATGGTCCTGTACATCATAGACACACTGTCTTGCTTACACTTTGCCTTTATACTGCTCCGGGTGTGTGTTCACGGGTGTGTGTGTTCACTACTGTGTGTGTGCACTTGGATGGGTTAAATGCAGAGCACAAATTCCGAGTATGGGTCACCATACTTGGCCACACGTCACTTCACTAATTTAATTTTAATTTAATTTATTTGCAGAAATGTATTAGATTTAATAACGATTATTTGCTATAACAAAAAGATCCTGGTGGCCACAGATTCTTCTTAAACCAACTGCCGTATAAACTATGGACCTGGCAGCTCTGTCATTAACTGGCCTGTCTGCTGCTCCTTCTTCCCTGGAAATGTTCACAGAGAGAGCATGGGGCAGCGTGACTTGTGCCCCAACGGGTCTGTTAGTGCCTGTTGCAGTTCCCATTTTTGACCAATGGGTGCAATAATAACTCGATAGATCTAAATGAGGCAGTCAGACCATGACTGCGCAACATGTAGAATCTGCTTATATCTGTCAAATAGCAACATTTTTTAAAAGAAGTAATTAGTAATTCAACAGAATTTAAAATTTATGGAGTTGTCAATGAGGGCTTCATGAAGATTAACATTTGTTGACTGGCTGACATACACCGATCAGCCATAACATTAAAACCACCTGCCTATTACTGTGTAGGTCCCCCTTGTGCCACCAAAACAGCTCTGACCTGTCGAGGCCTGGACTCCACAAGAGCTCTGAAGGTGTGCTGTGGTATCTGGCTCCAAGACGTTAGCAGCAGATCCTTTAATCCTGTAAGTTGTGAGGTGGGGCCTCCATGGATCGGGCTAGTTTGTCCAGCACACCCCACAGATGCTTGATCGGATTGAGATCTGGGGAATTTGGAGGCCAAGTCAACACCCTGAACCTACCTCTATGGATGAGCCACCACTGAAATGGGCATGTGGTGGCAGAGGTGTGGTCAAGCTCCGTTTGTGAATGGAGGGCAGAGTCTGGGAGAAGGAGTGAATAATTCCAGGAATGAGCATGCACCGCCAGATAATTAACATGTTGTGTGTGTTGCAGGGGGGGAGAGAATGTAGGAGAGAGTGTGTGGAACGAGCTGAGCTGTGGGAAAACAGAAACATGTGCATGTGTGGAATTTTTATTTAACAAAAGGTAAAAGGGAGAGAAAATAAAATATAAAAGCCAAGTCATGGTCTCCAAAGCATGACTTTTGTGTCCTCATTTCCTGACACACCTACCAGGGGTTCTACAGAGCGTTACCATAGAAATAATAACATTAGAACGAATGCATTAATATAGACCTGAGGTTTGCTGGAACTATTTTCAGAGCTGATGTTCAAGATAAATAAACCAACACTGATCAATTCTGACCAATCAGAATAGAGAATATATCAGCACCGTTGTATGAACCAAAACTACAGCTGCCATGTGTGGGAAGGCAACTCATCGCATCAGCACAGAGTTCGGGTTTGACCCTAGGGCTACAGAGACCCTTCTAATGTGGTGCACCACTCTCACTATTGCCAACTTTGTTACTCTGAGTTAGGAGGCAATTGCAACTGAACAGCAGTCAATGTAATATAATTAGCCTGCTTTCATTGTTTCTCCACTGGGGCTTTGGTTTTTAAAAGGGCAGCTCTATGAAATTACAAATTAATTGTTCCTCTAGGCTTGTAACCTTACTTTGTTGTTGTTGTTTGCTCGGTGGCATGTCAATGTCTGAAATATTAAATATTCCAATGCAAACATGGGCCGTAAGCCAGCCGAGATTAAACAAGTCATTTTCAGGAGGTGTTTGAGTAGATGTGTGTATATATGAGTGTGTCTGAGTGTGTTTTGTAGCACCACCCCTTGTAATTGAGGTGTGGTACTGTCTGTTCTATTGTCTTGGGCTTGTTTACGATCTGATCACGATTGGGCACTTGTTTCTGGTCACAGGGTCGCACTTGGATCTCTCTTGTCACATTTTAATTAAAGGCTCCGTGTTTATATTGTGCTGTGCATCACTTCTGAGCTTTGAATAAAAGTGTCTGCCAAACAAGCAAAAGTAAATGTGGGTAGTGTAAGATTCTGTTTAAAGTGACAAGAAGTTTGGGAGTTTAAATCCTACAGCTGCTAGAGAGACACTACTGTGGGCTGTATTCAGACTTGAGTTAAGCGAGTGTAGTGATTTTTATAATGAAATTGAGAAATTCAGACCTCGATGTAATATAATTTAATGTAAGTAGTTTTTCAGGCTTAAATGCAAGTGCTTGTGACTCTATTAAAAACCCTGTCTCAGACATCTCTACTCAAGAAAAATCTAGTAATCTTAAATCTTAAACTACATGCAGGTCATTTTAACAATCTGAATGGGAAGCCCAGGAAATCGACTTAAGCATGTGCATAACCCAACTCTGAATATGAGTAACTTTCCCTGCATAAATATTCACGTAACTTTTGGACTCAATTTGCTGACTCTGAACACAGCCCCTTATTTTTAATATGATGGGAGAGATTTAAGAAGATTTCTGAGTTAGACAATATGCCAACCTAAATACATCAGTGCACAAATCCTATTACAATATAGCTGTAACAATAAGGCTGTGAGCTGAGCGGTCTAAGGCGCTGACTTAAGACTCCAGTCTCTTTGCGGACTCAGGTTCAAATCCCACCGCTGCCAATAATATTTCAGGCAGCGGTGGCTCAATGGTTAAAAAGCTCTGGGTTACTGATCAGGAGGTTGGGGGTTCAAGCCCCACCACAGCAAAGCTGCCACTGTTGGGACCTTGTGCTCTGACCCAACTCCCTAAAAAGCTGGGATATGCCAAAAAAAAAATAAAAATTTCACTGTGCTATAATGTATATGTGACAAATAAAGGCTTCTACAATTAACAAAGATCTCTCTCTCTACCAGTTAAGATAATAAACTGTGATGTTTGAAAGTCAGCTCTGAATCTGCAAGCCCTCCTACTTAAAGTTCTTTTTATATCAATCCTATGCAATATTAATATTACAATATTTCTAGTCAGACTAATGTATTTCGCTCTTAGTATAAGGGTCATAAGATCATCTTGCCAAACGCCTCTGAAGGTCTTGGCTTCAACAAACCTGCTCTTAGTGTGCTGATTCTGAGTATATGTAAGTGTTCGAAACGTCAAAAGTTCACTTTCATAATATAATGAGGGAAGCTGCTGCTCTGTACTGAACAAAATAAAAGCCTCTGTCCTTGAAGCTGGATTTGGAGTGATGTATTCAGTAGCAGACACCTGAACACCCTAATCATGGTGAGACAGAGAGGACATGGAATATGTTATTTTCTTTATTTTATAATATATTTTTTCTTTATTCAGTGATTTACAAGTAAGGTGTATCTTCTTATGTTGAAGGCTAAGGGTTTGAAAATTGTACTCATTTTTCTTTTCCCTAACAGTAATTTTTTATATAGTAATATTTAGCTTGCTTTGTGAAGCTAGTGACGCTAGTACGAAGCCTAGCATGTAACATGAAAATCAAACAACTGATTTTCACACCAATTAGTGTGTTATTTTTACACATTTAGTTACACATAGTACTGTTTCACATTGGAATAAATACATTGGCAGTGTACGCCCTCAGAAGACAAACTATAACGAACACAAGCAACTTGTCACTTGCTGGTGTGAAATTAGTGTAATGCTAACACTGTTTTGGATTTTTTTTTACTCCTCAGGACCATGGACAGCTCCCAGAACTGTACTATACACACCATGAATGTGACTAAATATGAATACATTATGCAGAAATAAACAGATAATGTCTTCTAAACTGATACAAATACAGATAGGAATAGAAGATACACTGTATTTTTTTTTTTAAAGATTTCCAGAAAGATTTACAAGGCATCTGGTTGAGACAAGAGGTCTCAACTTGTAGTCTAGAAGGAAAGGGATCCCATGGGATGCAACAAAAAAGTTTTTTTGAGAGGTGAGAGGTCAGATATGAAGCAAGTTGGCACAAGCGAGAGGTCAGATATGAAGCTTGTTGGTGCAGGTGAGAGGTCAGATATGAAGCTTGTTGGCACGAGTTAGAGGTCAGATATGAAGCTTGTTGGCACGAGTTAGAGGTCAGATATGAAGCTTGTTGGCACGAGTTAGAGGTCAGATATGAAGCTTGTTGGTACGAGTGAGAGGTCAGATATGAAGCTTGTTGGCACGAGTTAGAGGTCAGATATGAAGCTTGTTGGTACGAGTGAGAGGTCAGATATGAAGCTTGT